TTAAATATCTTACAACTTGATCAATTGTACCTCAATAAAGCTGAAAAAATGTTAAAATTAAAATTGTAGCAAAATATAACAGCTATATCACCTAACCAAACAAAGTAAGTCACTGCAGTTAATTCTTTCCTTTTAAACATGTTTTTGGTCTAAGGTTCATTTCCTTAAAGTTTGTTTTGTTTTCTCATTATCACCATGAAATTAAAAAAAAAAAATCAAACCTCGCTTTTCCTGCCAAGTGGGTACATGATGTAGAAATAAAACTGGCATATTTTATTCTTGGGTTGATTTCATGCAGGTTTCAGAGTGCTAGAACTTTGAATCCTTCTGGTTTCTATTCATTGCTGCCCAGAAGGTTGCAAATGGTTTGGTCTTTTAAAAGCCAAAACAACCTATTCCCTTAAGTCCTGACCATGGTAAAACTAGCATCTCTCAGCCTTCCTTTTGCAGTTCTGTATTTATTTGATGAGCCCTCCTTATTACATTCTGTTGGAAAATACGCTCATCTATGCCAATGGTTATCCTTAGTAATACAGTGGGTCAAGTTGCCTAACCTAGTTCTTCTTGAGGAGTATTCTTGTCCAGTTTTTACTCTTCCACATATAAAAACCAGCCTGTGAATGTCATGCACCCTGTTGGGATTTTAATCAGAATATCCACATATCAATTTGAAGAGACATGATATCTTTATATTACTGAGCCTTTTTATCCATGAACATGGTATACTACTCTAGCTATTTAGTTCTTTCACGTCTTTTAGTAAAGTTTTTATAATTCTTTATGAAAGGCCAGCATGTCTTTTATTATACTTTATTATTTTTTTATCGCTATAATAAATAGATCTATTTTTAAAAAATCATGTTTTCTAGGTTTGTGGCTGTCATACTGAAACAAATGACTTCTGTGTGTTGATAATTGTATTCAATAACCTTGCTAAGCTCTTATTAAGTCTAAAACTTTATTGAAAATTGTTTTAGATTTTTCTATGTAGACAATCATATTATGTTAATGCCATTTTGTTTATTTTCTAATCCATATATTTTTAACTTAACTGTAGAGGGAAGCCTCACTGGCCCTCACATGTGGGATCCGAATCGGGGCCCTCTGGTGTCCCAAACCAGTTCCCAACCATCGCGCCACTCGGCCGGCCAAATTTAATTTGACTATATTAATTAACATCTCCAAGTACAATGTTGAACAGGAATAGTGACAACAGGCATCTCATCGTATTCCTAATCCCAAAGGGAAGACTTTTAAATTACCACTGAGTATGATATTTGCTCTGGATTTTTTGAAGATATTCTTTGAGTTGACTAAATTCCAAGTCTGCCATGAGAATTTATCACAAAGAAATGCTGATTTTTGTCAAACGCCGTTTTTGTATCTTTTGAGGTGATCATAATGTTTTTATATTTTCTTTAATTTGTTACTGTGGTTATTATATTTGTTGATTTCTAACGTTAAACCAAACTTGCATTTTTGCTCATGATTACCATTTCTATATTTACTGAATTCAGTGTGCTAATGATTTTGTTCAGTATTTTTGCATCTATATTCATAAGTGTGAATGTCCTAAAAGTTTCCTTTTCTCATGAGCTCTCTGTCTGGCTTTATTAACAAAATTAGGATACCCTCACAATGTAAACTGACAAATTTGTTTCTTTTTCCCCTAAAAGATTTTGTATAAAACTGGACTTATCTGTTCACTCAGCCTGTAAAGCAATCTAAGACAAGTGGTTTGGTTTAGTTTTGTGATGGGAATGTTTTAAAAATCAATAAGAAAATTAGTTCTAAGACTATTCAAAGTTTTTTCTCTGTTGAGTCATTTCAAGTTGCATCTTTCTAGGAATTCTCCATTTNGAAACTTGAGCAGCACAGGGAAATACAGGGAAAGACTAAGCTGTGTGGCTTCAAGATGAGGGCTAGAGGGACAGCCGTCATTAACCCTGTGTGGAGCCTGCCTCACGTGCAACCTGCAGGAGGACGCCATCTTTCCTGTGTTGAACCCACCCCCACAGGGACACATCTGAAAGCCCACTGGTCTGGTAAAACCTGTGAGTGCGAAGTGCCTCGGTGACTCCTTTGAACCCACCTCACTAGTGCATCATCAGCCATAAGCACTCTCAGCTCCTGGGTGGCCAGCCCTGCCCCGCAAGCTGCTAGCGGGTTGTACAGCAGCAGACAGTCAGCACCAGCTTGCGCTGCAGCCTTTCTTGAGCAGCTCTTGGGGAATCTGTGGGCCTGAGGTGAATGACGGCTGGCTGAGGTGTGTTCAGGGTAGTTTGTGAAGTGGCCATAGACTCAGCACTGGCACAAGAACTGAATCTGCATTAACTCTGTGAAAACCACTGGCCACACCACATGACTCCCTGGGACACCGCCCCACCGACTCTGGCAGCATCACCAGGGGCACTGTCAAAACCAGGTCAACCTGCCTGGCCCACACATCTAAGGAGGCTCTTTCAGTAGCTGAGCCTTAGGCAACCAGCAGGAGGCAACAGGCCAAGGGGGTCCCTGGACCTTTTGCTGAGCTGCCCCAGGCCCGATACTGGTGGCAGCCGGCCTCAGTTCACAGCGAGGCCACACCTACACACCTCCAGGTCCAACACAGGCAGCAACCAATTGCATATAGCTTTGCAGCTCGTACCAGGCTGATTAAAGGCAAGGCTAAAATTGGCCTGCACCGGAGCCCTTCCCAAGAGGTACCAGGGACAACACACCCAGAGACCGGCCTCAGACCACACCAGAGCACTACCCAATTAGCCCACAAGTACCACACCCAAAGGGTGGTCTCAACAGGCACAAAAGTCCACTTGAGCAAATTCCCCTGAGGGGTCAGCCTCCACACAACGGCTCATATGCTGTGGGCGTAACCAATCCTCACAGCTAGTCAGCCTGAGAGTCAATCCCACACATAGGAAGCACCAAAAACAATTAAGGCTCAACTAAACAGGAGAATATATCTAACACGAGGGACGCTCCTGGAACACACACACAGGTGATTCAGGGAGACTGTGTCACTGGACCACACAAGGCACCTACTACATAAGGCCACCTGACAAAGACTGAGTGACACAGATCTACCTAATACATAGAAGTAAAGACAGAGAGGCAGCTAAAATGAGGAAACAAGGAAATATGTCCCAAATAAAACAACAGGAGAAAATTCCAGAAAAAAGAACTAGATGAAATGGAGGCAACCAACCTACCAGAGACAGAGTTTAAAACATCGGTTAGGAGAATGCTTAAGGAACTTAGTGAGAACTTCAATAAAGAGATAGTAAGCATAAAGGACATAGAAACCATATTAAAAAAAAAAGCACGAATCAGAAATAAAGAATACAATAACTGAAATGAAGAATATACTAGAAGGAGTCAACAGCAGATTAGATGAAGCAGGAGATCTAATTAGTGATTTAGAAGACAAGGTATCAGAAAACACCCATCAACAAAACAAAACAAAACAAAAACCCCTGAAGATAGTTTAAGGGCCCTCTGGGACAACAACAGACATTAACAACATTCACATCATAGGAATAGCAGAAGGAAAAGAGAGGGAGCAAGGGATCGAGAACCTATTTGAAGAAAAATGACTGAANACAGCCGCTCACGGCACCCACGGCAGCCAGCCACTCACAGTAGCTTTACAGGAGCCCACTGCAGCCCTACTGCAGCCTACACCATCACCGGTGACTCACGGCAGCCCAGCTCCAGGTTGAGCTGTTGTTCACCATCTTAGCTGTAGAGGGCGCACTGTCACTGGCCCTAATGTGGAATCCGAACCGGGCCCTGCTGCTCAGAACTGGCGTCCCAAGCCAACTCTTAACCAACGAACCACTCGGCCAGCCCAGGGCTTCTTGAATAGGGCAAATGTACTGAAACTACAAACTGTCATTCACTAGCAGTAAACGATCAGAGGAAAATCAATCCATTTATAACTTATTCCAAAGACAACCATAATTAAGTGAAGAGGCATAAAGCAAATTATTGATAAAATAGGGACTCACTCGTCTTTGTATCTGCAAAGCCTAACTAACAACAATGCTAAATATTAGTAAGAGAAGAATTAAGTAAAAAGAAAAAAATGTTACTTAGGATTACTGATAATGTAGAGAGGTATGATTAAGGATTATGGTTGAGCACAGTAAGTTTATGTATATTGCGAGGAATATAAGCTAGGCTTCTTGAGTTTTCTAAAGGTCAATATATCAGAAATGTTTCAAAGGCAGGAATTCCACATCAACACTAATTTCCCCTTCCCACAATAAATATGGGTAGCCTGAAATGACTGCATATGAGAAAAACTTACCTCAGAAACTTTTAGAAGTCCTGCAGAAGCGTAGTAGTTTGCGACAATGCAGGCACGAAGTTTATCCATCATCCTTCTTGCCTCAATCAGTCGCTAAAAACAAATGTTAACTCATTACTTTAAAAAATGGAAATGACAGGAGAGATATATATACAAAAAATTCGTAAAGAAATACAAATGACCAAAAAAAGCTCAACTTCTCTAAAAATCAAAGACAAATAAAAATGATCATTTTCCACTTATCAGATAGGCAAAAGATTTGAAAGGATAACAAAAACCAAGGTTTGCAAGAGTATATAGATATGTTGATATGTATATTTATGTGTATATATACATATTCCTTGAGAAATGTCCACAAAGATTTGAGCACAAGAGCAAAGAGGAATTATCATTTGGGATGAAATTTCAGGTAATTTTTTTTCTTTATCTTTTCCTGCAATTTCATTTAAAGAAAAAAAAAAAAGCATGTCTTTTTTCCCCAAAACAAGGAAACTCTTTTTAAAAGAACAGCAAAGGGGAAAAACAAACCATGATTGTATCTCAATAGATTTTTTTCAAGTCATCATGTATAGATTTTTTTGCAAAAAAAATTTTTTTAATTTGTCATCATTATACCTGGTCAATGACTTCAATTTCATGTTCCTTATTCTTCATTTCAAGTGCAAATTGTTCCTTGATAATAGTCTCGATCTTCTGCACTGCAGCATCTCGAGCTACACAAAGAACATAAAATAATCCAAGGTCTAATAACCAGTGGCTGTCTTGATTTAAGTCAGCAAGCAAAAAAAGAAACCAAAAAACTAATACTGGGGAAAACTGACCTAGTGTGTTTTCTGATATGAGAAGAATATATCAGTCTGTGGCATTCCTGCCAAAAAAGCAGAATCTAATCATGGGGACATCAGACAAACCTAAACTGAAAGATATTCTACAAAATAACTGGCCTATACGATTAAAATATTAAAGTCAAAGAAAGGTTGAGGAGATTAAGAGACTAGAAAGATATGACAACTAAATGTGCTGTGTGATCCTGGACTGGATCCTGAAGAGGGGGAAGCAGTTATAAAATACAACACTGGGATAACTGGGAAAACTTGAAAATGAACCATAGATTAGATAATGTAATAGATAAATGTTNATGAGGAACTTTCAACATTAAATATTATTGTAAAATCCTATGTTTAATTCTGTTATATTCTGATATTCACGAAAAACAGTAACCTTTTTATATTTATCTTTATCTGTATAAACAAGTTCAGCTATTTCCAGAGAACATAATCAGCTAATATAATTCACATGATAACAATCTGACAGGAGGGTACAGTGCCTGTTCAGTGAGAGAGTATTCTGCAAGAAGGAACCAGAGCTAAAACTCATTACGACTAAAAGCCAAAGGTGAGTAAATGATTAATAACACAAGAATGTCAAGGGAGTGTTTTCAAGGTAAATCACTTTTCTTCCATTTCAATAAATCTGTACTTCTTAGGTTAAGTAACTTAAGTGTACTTACCTAACTTCCACAAGGTCATTTGGTTTATAGCTGGGATGAAGGAAGAACCAAACTTTCTTGACAAAATGATTAATGCTGGGTTCTCTACGAGAACCTCGAACATACACCATCCATTTGTGAGTTGATTGGTCATTTTCTTCTCTCTTATCAGGAGGTATATACCTAGAGGAGAAGAAAAAAAGGAACCTGAATTATTTTTTTCCTTCAGAAGCCTAACAAATCAATTAACTCCTACTTAAAACAAGATAAAAAATCAATTATAAAAAGAAAACTGGAAAATTCACAAATGTGTGGAGATTAAACAACATGCTACTGAACCACCAACGGGTCAAAGAAGAAATCAAAAGAGAAATTAAAAAATATATTTTGAGACAACTGAAATGGAACTACAACACATCAAAACTTAAGAGATGCAGTAAAAGTAGTTCTAAGAAGGAAGTTTATAGCAATAAACGCCTACATTAAGAAAAAAAGATCTCAAATAAACAATCTAACTTTATACCTCAAAGACCTAGAAAAAGAAAAACAAACTAAGCCCAAAATTAGTAGAGAAAGGAAATAACAAAGATTAGAGTGAAAATAAATTAAACAGACTAAAATGACAATAAAAAGATCAAATAAACTAAGGGCTGTTTTTTTAAAAAGGTAAACAAAATAGAAAAACCTTTAGCTACACATAACAAGAAAAAAAGAGGACTCAAATAAATAAAATTATAAATGAAAGAGGAAATGTTGCAACTAATGCTACACAAACACAATGGATCATAAGAGACTATGAATAATTAAATGCGAACAAATTGCACAACCCAGAAGAAATGGATAAATTCTTAGAAACATATATACAAGACTGAATCATGAAGAAATAGAAAACAAGATCTAAACGATCATTAGTAAGGAGATCGAATCAGTAATCAAACACCACCCCATAAAGAAAATTCCAGGACCAGATGGCTTAAAGGGTGAATTCTACTGAATATTTAAGGAAAAACT